GATGGCAAATCTTTCAAACTTGAATAAATTACCTAATACAAGGGTTTTTGTTGCAGCTGACAATGGATGGTTGAAATACTGGAGGTGGTGGCTTTATTTCTGCTCAAGACGGGAACCTTCAGTGCTAAAAAATGGTAGGAGATTTCCATAGATGTTATATTGTGCTTTGTTGAGATTTTTTGCGAAAAGAGAAGGGAAAATACACAGTAACTTTGATAAATAGAAGTTATTTAATCTTGCCCCACATTCAGCATAAAGTTGTTCTTCTTGTATTGCGAACTGCATTCGCTGTAGGTTTCTGATTACTCAGTTTGTTGCAACTGAAGCTTTGGGCAAGAATAACCTTGCAGATAGGAGATAGTCCGTCGGCAGTTTTCCCCTATTTGTGCATCAACTTTCTCTAATATGTTAGTGTTGCATTTTAAGGTTAAATTTGACCAACTATTTGTGCAGTGAATACATAAAAAAAACTAAATAGCATTTTCATAAAGTATTAATTAGGATGCCAAAAATCATAGAAATCGGTTATATTATTCCTGCCAAAAACCTGATTAAAAAACATAACCAACGTGCAAATAAATAGGCTCGGGCCACCTTAAATCAAAATTACCCTGAAAACAAATGACATAAAACATGTACTTTTTGCAATATTAACAAAAAATCTGTGCTTTGTACAGTCAAAGCCTGCTTTACAGACATCCACTTAATACATACACCTTATTACTACGGACAGTTTGCTTTGTCCCTGGGGAAAGAAAGCCCTTACATTTACTCCCTATTCAATCCACTTAATATGTTCACCTCTTAATATGGACCTTTTTTAATGCCCCCCCTCATTAACGGGGTTTAACTGTAATGGTTCTTAAAAAATATATGAACTGATAAACCGAATAATATTATTATTATTAATTGTAATGATTATGATAGTAACTTGACTTAGATGCTTATGTGTGCTCATGTTTTTCTTATCCAGGTCAGATGCATCATGCCACAAACAGACAGGATCAAGTCTTAAACATTTAGGCTTTTGAGGTTATCTTAAGTACCATATAGATTACTTTGTAATCCAGCTCTTGACAGAACCAGTTAAACAAAATGTGGCTTGTTTGTTCAATATTAAAACAATAATAACCAGGACACAAAATTAAAAATGCAATTAAATCCACTTGGTAAAATTTTTCAGTCAAGATAGGCTTGTTTTCTATCTGGATGGTCAGCAAACATTAGTTCAAGGCCTAGTTTGTTTAAAAGCAGAAAAGGAAAAAATTCTAATTTTTGACCAGAATCATGGGTTAACCTCTTTGAAAAAATATCCATAGGGCGACTTGGTAATATCCTTATTGTTTACTCTAGGGAGGCTTGTTTTCTAACCGGATGGTCAGCAAAGATTATTTCAAGGCCTATTTTCTTTAAAAGGAAGCAAAGGAAAAAATTCTAACTTTTGACCAGAATCATGGGTTAACCCCTTTGAAAAAAATCTCCATAGGGCGACTTGGTAAAATCCTTATTTTTCAGTCTAGGTAGGCTTTGTTTTTTAAGCGGAAGGTCAGGAAACATTATTTCAAGGCCTATTTTGTTTAAAAGCAAACATAGGAAAAAATTCCAGTTTTTGACCAAAATCATGGGTTGTCCCCCTTAAAAAAAATTTCCATAGGGCGACTTGGTAAAATCCTTATTTTTCAGTCTAGGTAGGCTTTGTTTTTTAAGCGGAAGGTCAGGAATTATTATTTCAAGGCCTATTTTGTTTAAAAGCAAGCATAGGAAAAAATTCCAGTTTTTGACCAAAATCATGGGTTGTCCCCCTTAAAAAAAATTTCCATAGGGCGACTTGCTAATATCCTTATTTTTCAGTCTAGGTAGGCTTGTTTTCTAACTGGATGGTCAGGAAACATTATTTCAAGGCCTATTTTGTTTAAAAGGAAGCATAGGAAAAAATTCCAATTTTTGACCAAAATCGTGGGTTGTCCCCCTTAAAAAAAATTTCCATAGGGCGACTTGGTAATATCCTTATTTTTCAGTCTAGGTAGGCTTGTTTTCTAACTGGATGGTCAGGAAACATTACTTTAAGGCCTATTTTGTTTAAAAGCAAGCATAGGAAAAAATTCCAATTTTTGACCAGAGTCATGGGTTAACCCCTTTAAAAAAAATCTCCATAGGGCGACTTGGTAAAATCCTTATTTTTCAGTCTAGGTAGGCTTGTTTTCTATTCACATGGTCAGCAAACATTATTTCAAGGCCTATTTTGTTTAAAAGCAAGCAAAGGAAAAAATCCTATTTTTTGACCAGAATCATGGGTTAACCTCTTTGAAAAAATCTCCATAGGGCGACTTGGTAGTATCCTTATTTTTCAGTCTAGGTAGGCTTGTTTTCTAACCAGATGGTCAGCAAACATTATTTCAAGGCCTATTTTGTTTAAAAGCAAGCATAGGAAAAAATTCTAATTTTTGACCAGAGTCATGGGTTAACCCCTTTAAAAAAAATCTCCATAGGGCAACTTGGTAATATCCTTATTTTTCAGTCTAGGTAGGCTTGTTTTCTATCCGGATGGTCAGCAAAGATTATTTCAAGGCCTATTTTGTTTAAAAGCAAGCATAGGAAAAAATTCCAATTTTTGACCAAAATCATGGGTTGTCCCCCTTAAAAAAAATTTCCATAGGGCGACTTGGTAATATCCTTATTTTTCAGTCTAGGTAGGCTTGTTTTCTAACTGGATGGTTAGGAAACATTATTTTAAGGCCTATTTTGTTTAAAAGGGAGCATAGGAACAAATTCTAATTTTTGACCAGAATCATGGGTTAACCCCTTTAAAAAAAATCTCCATAGGGCGACTTGGTAAAATAACAACAACATCTTTATTTCTTACATTAAATATACAAATATCACACCACCTGCAAATAGCAAGGCTAATCGAGGCAGGTGGTGTGTAGACGGCTTAAGATTTATTACGAATAGTTGAAGTGAAAAAGTACCATATTTATAATAAAAAAGGTCAGTCACGAGAGAAATTGAGATAAGAAAATCGAGGCAGCTATTTAGATAAGCGGGGGCTAATATTTTTTAAAATCGGAGATTATCGTGTTTAGGTCAGCATATCTATCCTGAACTTCAAATATTTTCAACAGAATTGTATGAACTTTTTCCTTAAAGAGAGATCTTGAAGAATTTCGTAAATTTTCAGGTATACTATTCCAAATTTTGGCTCCCATAATAGAAAACGAATCATTTTTCTGATTTAGTCTAGAGTGGCTAATGTAATAATTTCCAGAAGAGGAGGAGCGAGTGCTGTAAGAGTGGATTTGTTGAGTAGGAATAAAGAGATGTGAAATATTATGAGGGGCAGTGTTATTGTAAACATCAAACATTAACATCGAAGAAAGCTTAAAA